TCGAACATGAGCGTGCAGACAGCCGTCTTATCATCTGACCTCAGGCTGGCAGAAAGCACAGCGATGAAGCAACAGAGTCCTGGAGAGGAAGTTAGCCAGGTCGATCGGCTTGACAGCCACTTCCTGCTGGGGTCGGAGGTCGGGACCAGAGAGGGTCTCGGGCCAGGGGCTGTGAGTGTCGCACGGCTCACATCGCGTCGGAGGCCTTGCCTCTGTGGCAAGAGGGGTGTCCCCTCTCGCACCGCGGGGTGGCACCTCGCCGAGCAGGCCCCACTGGCGTGGGGGCGCGTCTCGCAGAGAGCTGTCGTTGTCCGTGGGGTGGTGCCAGCAAAGCCCCTGTAGCTGCCAGGGGTGAGCGCGTGAGAGGGGGGCTGGGGGGCAGAGGGGGCACACGGAGCTCGGGTCTCTCTCGGAGCCCTCTGGCAGCAGGGCGAGGGGGCTGTGGCGCTGCGGCTCGGGATCGGTGCAGAAACCTCCAGCCTGCAGCAGCAGCTGCACAGTCAGGGTTGTGGTCCCTCAGTGCTTCCTTCCTCCACTGGCCTCTAGTTTCCTCCTCGCTCATGATTCGCAAACTCGTCTCATGAGTGAGAAGCGACGCCGCTCGCGGTCTGGCCGGGCTGTTCCCGCGGCTCCGCCGCTGCGCACCGGGGTCGCGTGAGTTCCGCCTTTCTGACTTGGGCTGCACGCTTGCCCTCCCCTCGCGGTGGGATTTGTGGGGCTGAGAGATCAATCCAAGTTTCGGCGGCGCAGCTCTCCTGTCTGAGCTGCGTGACGCCAGAACGATCTTGGCGCTGAAATGTGGTGACAAGTCGGCCGTCATGGTGCAAAGCTGAGCTGATACAGACCAGAGCTGGGACCTGTCCTCCGGGTGTCCAGCCCCCGTCTGTGGAAGCAGTATATTCTGCAGCTCCGTATGGATAAGAGGAAAAGTAATAAGATCCCTGCAGGCAGCCTTACAGGTGCTGATGTCTGTGCTCAGGCTGAGGCAGACCTGGCTTTCTTCCCACAGGTTCCTGGTGTTCATTCCTCCGGCGGGTCCGGACTGGGGATCCGAGCTGTGAGGCTCGTCACGGGGAGCGCGGTCCTGACCCGCTCTGCACGTTCGGACCCTGGGCAGGTTAGAGTGGAGGGGGGATAGCTCAGGCTGCAAGGCTAGCTCATTTGTGAGTAACTGGCCGAAACAGCCCAGTGTGAGGACTGGCGAGCGAACCGCTAATTTCAGTGTGCTGCATGGCCAGACGCATGAGGAAATGTCTCGGGTTCAGTCGGGCCTGTACGCGATGTTCTGTTAAAAGCAGCGAGGCAGCCAGCTTTCTGATAATGGTGTTTGTGATTTGTTCAGTGGAATGAAGGATAGTTGAGATTCGGTGTCGTGGAGGAAGGATGATGCTGTGTTTTGGTGGTACGTGTGCCAGATGGCAAGAGTGTCCCGTCTCCTCCGCTCTGTGTGGAGTTCTCTCCACCAGGAGGGTGTCAGTTCAGCAGGCGATGGGCGTTCATCAGACGCTCCTTGAGCAGCCCTGAGGAGACCCTGGTGGCAGATAAGCTGCTCTGTGGGTAAAGCTAATTGGACATGACGAGCAGCTGGGCTCCGAAATGACAGTGAAGAAAAAGCGGAGCGGTGATGAAGGTCCGTGCTGCGCAGTTCCTGCTGATCGGGCATCAGGAGAGGCGGCTGCTGGCGTGTCGTCTGTCTCCTGAATCACTGCTGGGCGCTGCCAGGTGATTGTCTTCTGAAGAGCGCGTGTCCCGCTGGGGGAGACCAGTGTGAGAGTCCAGGAGCACAGACGACAGACAGACGGACTGACTGACTGACTGACTCCCCGTTTTCCTTGTTCGGGGGGGGGGCAGGTTTGAGTCCCTCGTGGATCCGACCCGGACCTCGCGAGAATCAAGTGCTGGCCTGCAGTCAGACGGCAGACGGGACGTTTCTGATGTGCAAGTGCTACTTTCATATAAGCGCATTTCCTAATGTATACCAGCAGCCCGTCCACGGGTCCTACATATCCCAGGCCTTCAGGGAATATCTTACACTGACAGACTGCAGGAGCTGAGCCTTTATAGTCGCCAGCGAAGAGATGACCGGAGACAAGTATTCCGAAGCCTCGGAGTCGCCAGCAGGCTCAGCTGGCGGATCTCTTCAGAGCGAACAGTGAAACACGACCCAGAGGGTGCAGGGGGAAAGTGCGTTTAAAACCGAGAACAGGAGGCACTTCTTTACACAAAGCGTTGTGGGAGTGTGACAGTAACCAGCCTCGTTGCTCGTACCCTGGTTCTCCGTCCAGCGCTGACTGGGCGAGATGCTCGAGTCTGGTCACTACAGGGAGCAGGCAGGCTGGTTGGGTGGGTGCAGTGGGCTCGTGTAACCTGCTTGTTCCTGAAGGGCTCCAGACTTGCGGTCTAGTGCTGCCGGCGCGAGGCAGGAGGCCTGCTGCTGGAACAGCTCTGTTGCCGCAGCCGACGGCTCGCGGCTCACCGCACGGCACGGCTCCGCAGGAGCTGGGAAGTGGTGGGATAAGCACAGCCACGGTGTGTTTTTCTCCTTTGCAGCTCGCTAGGAGCAGAGGCTGTCGCGTGTCCTCGGACCGCCCGGTGTTTAATTGTCCAGATGCTCACCCCAGCAGTCGTGGCCACTGTGGGGAGTCTGGAAGGAGCTCGGGGCCCAACACTGTCACCGCAGCTGAGAAGCAGGACCCGTCTGCGGGTCCCGCAGCTTCGCGTGTCTGGTGCTGTCTGGCGGGGGCGAGGGGCCTGGAGGGGCTGGACAGGCAGCTGAGCCCTGCCGGTGCTCGCTCACGCGCGCGGGGGGGGACGGAGCTCGGGGCCGTGCGCGAGACAGAGGCGGGTGCGCTGTCGGTCTGCTTCGCCTGGGCTGGCGTTAAGCCCCAGCTCTCTCAGCGCAGTGGTAAAGGCAGGAACAAGCTGGTGCTTTGTGGGAATAGGTTCGCTTTGCTCTCTGCTGGCACCCGTGCCACACCGGGAAGCCAGTGCAGCTCTCGTGCTGTCTCTGTGGTCTGGGCTCGCTGGGCTACAGACTGCGCTGGTGGAGCCCTGCTTTCTCTCCTCCCGATTCTCACTGCCGCCTTCCGCAGAATAAGGTAAGAATCGTAATGTGAGTGGGGCCAGCAGGGGGTGCTCACTTCGCGCTCTGTGTGGTTTCGAATGCCCCAGTATAGTGACGGGGGCACTATACTGTAAAAAGGTGCCGTCCTTCGGATGAGACGTAAAACCGAGGTCCTGACTCTCTGTGGTCATTAAAAATCCCAGGGCGTTTCTCGAAAAGAGTAGGGGTGTTACCCCGGCGTCCTGGCCAAATTTCCCATTGGCCCTTATCAATCATGGCCTCCTAATAATCCCCATCTATGAATTGACTTCATTACTATTACGATGTGTGTGGAGAGGACTGGAGCATCATCCAGGTGGGGCTGCACACTGGTGGTGGAGGAGGGGATCCCCAGGACCTGTAAAGCGCTGCGAGTGGAGTGTCCAGAAAAGTGCTATAAAAGTGTAAGAAGTTATTATTAATATTATTATAGCAGCCCTTGTCATGCAACAGGGGTAAGCTGAGCCCCCTCAGCGTGTGAAACCCGAAATGGCCCAGACTGCTGTGAAATGGGGTTCCCAGACTGTAAGGTGATGTGTGTGATCCTTTCTTAGGGCTCTGCGAGGTGTAAAACGTAGCTGGGCGCGGGCGGCGGGGTCGCGTTTCAGCGTCTGCTGTCATTGTGTGTGTCTAGCAGGTGTCCATACAACAGCTATTGTTCTCCCTCGCTAATAATGCATCAGCTGGCGGTAAGAGGATGCCTCCCGCCGCCGCGCCCGAGCGTGTTCTGCCAGGAGAGCCAGCCGCTGGTCCCCTGCCTGTAGCAGAGCGGCACGGGTCAGTCTGGGGCCTTTATCCCATCAGCCCCAGTCTGTGTGTGTGTGCGTGCTCGCAGGATGTTTTGTGGTTTGTGAGGTTTGTGTTTCCTCCTTTGTGCAGCACCACTCTGCTACAGAACGGGGACAGAGACACTGACAGCACTCGGAGGTCTGTATGCCCATCACGGCCGTACGATTCTGACCTGAAACGTGACCCGATGGCGTTTGTGCACCTTGCTGGACTGGTTAGGGCAGAGTTCAGGTCTTGGTTAAGTGCAGACAGGTGTAAACCAGGTGACCTGGATGGTGTTCCTGCAGTATTACTTTCCCTGGTTTCCAGTTTTGTGGATTTCTGTCACCCTGGCCACCTGCTCGTCCGTCGCGTCCGACGAGGAAGTTCTGTTCCACTGCCGCGTGGGAGGTCTGCTGTGAGGCACCGAGCGCGATGTGCCTTCGAACACGCAGCTGGGAGGGGCCTGTCCGACTGCAGCCCGGACCCCCCTCCCCGCCGTGGGCATGCAGCCTCACTCCTCCAGCAGGGGGAGCTGTGACCGGGAGGGCTGGGATCAGAGCTGCAGGGACTGCAGTGGATTATGGGGTGCTGCTTGCTGGAGGGGTGTCGGGGGTGTTTGCGTGAAATCAGCCAGCAGCCCGTGGGAGGAGCTGAAATTCCCCGCGAGCAGTGGTTCACGTGCAGCCCCTCTGCTCCGGCCTCGCTCTGTTGACTTGACTCGAGAGCAGAGCCCCCGTCTTCGGTTTCCTGCCTCCCGAGGTGGCAGCTGATGCGCCGTTCCGCAGCACGAACGCTGTCCCGGGGCGGCTGTCTCGGGCCCTCGCTGTGAGCGGCCCCCGCAGGCCCCTGGCGGCGCAGTGTGTGAGCCTTGTTGTTCCTGCTGTACTGTCAGCGGTGGCGGCGGCCGAGAGATAATTAATCCTAAAGAGTCCCCCCCGCCCCCTGGCCGCCAGGTTTTAGAGAGGATTTGAGGGCAAGCTGCCGCAGACTGCCAGAGCTCGTCGGAGTGTGGCGAGCAGGGCGGGGGGCTGTGAGCTGCTGATTGTTACCTGCCTGCTGCTCCGGTTTGCGGAAAAACTGCCGATTTGTCTAGCCACTTCGCTGTTGTTCTGATTCTCACGTTTCCAGCAGTATCACGCACCGCTTTGTGGTGTCGGAGAGCTGCGCCACAGGCCAGCTGGTGTGGAGCCAGGTCTCCCCTCTCTCCCCAGGTCTGCCTGCAGTGTCGTCTTTACAGGCGAAGAGGAGAAAATCCAGGTCCCAGGTAAACCAGCTAATGGGCCTGTTGGTCACTGAGGGTTTCTGAACCCCAGTTCCCTGTAGCGCAGGTCTCCGCCAGCACGTCAGTGGTTTGAAAAGACCTTAAGACTGAACACCTGCATGCTGCCACACGACGCCTCTCTGCTCTCGCTCTGTGGAAATGCAGTGATCGAGCTGACCTGAGCTCTTCACACAGAGGAAACATGCGGTGTCCAGAGCTCGCACCTTCCTCTCACAGGGGTAGCCTTACACAATGAATTCCAAAAAAAAATTAAATTAAAAAAAGATATACTGTCGTAACTCCCCAGGCAGGAATTGAAAGTAAGTTGAAATCTGGACCCAGCGCATGTCTAATTCCCCACACGGGTTTTGGGGTGCCAATGAGGACGCATGTTGGGGATGTGGGTGAGGACAGGACCGGTCAGTGCACCGGAGTGTCTCTGCTTCACACGGGTGGGATGCCATCACAGGAGCAGTCCGACAGCCAGCTGGGTTTTCTTTCGTGTTATTGCACTTAGTCAGACAGTCTGGGGGAACTGCCCCCCGAGACGCCCTGGAGAGGGGTGAGGCGCCCCACTGTGTGCTGGCGTCGCTGCCCAGCCCCGTGTTGCTGACGCCCTGTTTGTGTCAGGTTTTAGGTGAGAGCACGCCCCCTCCTTGTTCCAGTGGATGAAGCTGTCCAACGGCTTGAGCCTGTCACCTCCTCCTCTGGCCAGCAGGGCGCGCTGCCGAAGCAGGGCCCCCGCTCCTCTGCCTCTTCCTCCTCCCGGCCAGGCTGCCACAATGTCCTCCTCCTCTTCCTCGTCCTCCTCGGAGGAGACCAGCCCCGGGGACACGCCCCGCGGGGGGGGCACCATCCGTGTCTACCTCCCCAACAAGCAGCGCACTGTGGTACGAGCCAGAGCCGCCATCGTCACCCTCTGTCACCGCCATAGCTTCCCTTGTGCAGAGGGAGCTCCCAATACAGCTCACCGGTATTTCACTCCCATTAACGTGGAGAAGTGACATGTTTGTGAATGCGTGCATATTGTTTCTGAACATCTTTGCGCTCCGCACGCAGGGAAGGAACAGGGGGCAGAGTGGAAGCAGGAAGAGAGCTGGAGAGCCTGAGCTCCTGAGGGCAGGGAGAGGCTTTTCACTGCTGCTGTAGAGTCTGTTTCCTGGAAAAGTGTCTCGCAACGTCGCTATTGCTGATCAGCATTTCCTCTAAGCACTTGTAGGACAAGAGCTGAGGCTAAGTCTGGCACAGAAGGACAAGGTTAAAACAGTCCGTTTTTAAAAATGTCTCCCATCGCCAGGCATTTCTGCAAGAATAAGATCTGCTCCACCGAGGCAGAATGTCTGCGTGGCGCCTAAAACCCCAGAGAGCTAGTGAAAAGACCTGCTTGACCCGCTGAGTGATTTATCAGTGACAAGGGAGAGAAGTGCCTTTACAGTTTTCCAGCAATCTGTTAGCGATGGCTGATCTCGCCCTTGTCGCTGAGCTGGTGATGCCGGGATGATGCCGATCTCCTGTGTGTGTCTGTGCTTCCAGGTGAACGTGCGCCCGGGGCAGACGGTTCATGACAGTCTGGACAAGGCCCTGAAGGTGCGGGGCCTGACGCAGGAGTGCTGTGCTGTCTTCCGGCTGCTCGAGGGGTGAGTCTCTCACACCGCACACCCGCTCAGCGCTGCCAGCTAGGTGCAGGAGTCCGTGTGAGACGGGGCCGTGGCAATTCTGTGTCCAGTCCTGGTCCTGCAGGACCGGTGTGTCTTGGCTTCTCCCAGCTCTTCATGTGCTGCTGCTTGAAGGTGACTTTGAAAACCTGCAGACTCTCTGAC